ACCTAGTGAGCTGTCCTCCACGGCAAAGAAGGAAGTCTCCGATGTATCTTGGGTTTCGACAGCATTTGGTGAACCGTATGGGGCAGCAGCAAGGATGCTGGTTAAGAGGCGGACTTACTGTCTTGAGATGAACTCCTTCTGATTGTACGAGCTTTTGGATCCATGGTAAGTTTTATAATTTTTCTGCTTCATGTTATGTGCACGCAGTATTATGTTTCCTATGCGTATTTCAATTCAGTATAAAAAATTGGAAGTGTTCCTCCTGCTCACGAAACGAAAGGCTAATAGATATTTGGAAATAAGTAAAAGAATGAATGAATGGTCGTAATGGATTGATGGCTTGCCTTCTGAAGGCATCTGACAACAGGTGTGAGTGTGTATTTGCCTGCTAAATGAGCCAGAGTTCGGGGCCAAATGATGCATGGTCAATTGAACCCACTTAGGATTTTGGCTGCAGTTTTCTAATTTCTGACAGGCAATCTGCCTGCATGACTCTAGATATTTATTGCAACACTTGAATTGAATGTCAATTACATAACAGTAAAAGCCTAATATTTGTCCATCTCTTGGAGATACGTGCTTTGACGGGGAGATGGATAGGGAGAAAGTGCAACTTATGCAATGCTCTTTAGATTGAAAAGAGGAAAGGTTTCTTTAAGTGGTCTTATGTTTCTAATTTTGGGTGCTGGCTTAATTTTCACTTGATTACTATCATGTTATTTCAACTTTCACCAATCTAATTCATTTGTTAAAATTGGGTGTTTCAGGGAAAGCGCAATCAGGCGAGGAACAGGGAAACATGGTACTCCCTCAAAGAAAGAACGAGAAAGGGCAATTTTTCTTGAGCGTACATGGAGTTAGGCACCTAAGGCAAGCTGAATTTTGCTCTTCCTTGCCTCTCAAGTTGCAGCCACATTTGAATGATGATTAAAGGGCTGCCAGTTATTCGGCTGTTGTGCCTGAACTGTGAACTAAATGCATCTGCTGGGTTTTTTTTAATTTGAAGCAATGCTTGTAAGATTGCACACCTGCCTGTAACAGCTGAGTTTGTAGCCACCTTTTTCCATTTTCAGTTATTCCTCTGTGAATATTCAGTAGGTACCAGTTTGGTATGCTTTTGTGATATATTCTTCTGAAGTGAAATGAGCAATGTACTTTGCATCTGTAAGTTCAAATGACTTCTGGATGAACGAACCAATCCTATTCATGCAATACAGGTTCCTGCACCTACTCACTGCTGTTAGGTGTTTTGCTGGATACCTGACTCAGGTTACCAGCATTCAGAAATGTGTAGGGAAACACTCTGTCGAACAAAACAAGATTGATCCAATGACATTGTTCGCACTTTTAACGATATTATTTGTGTTCTTCCGCTGCTGTTATTCTCTTAAGTGACCATTTAATCCGAAAAGATCAAGCTTTCGCTTCAAATTGTTTCATGCGGGGAGCATGATCCCTTTTTTGACTTTTCCCTCCTCTTTTTGTAACTTGTTATAGAAAAATAATTTAGGATTCATCAGAGAAGTTTATGCGAGGTGGATCCAATTTTGGTAAATCTTTTAAAAGTTGTAGGGTAATATTTTTAATATAATTAGGAAATATGAGTTTATTAAAAAACTCAACTATGGCATGATGAATTATAAAAGAAAATTATCTTAGCCGCATCTTGTGAAGAATCTGGTTATAAAAATGTTTGAAAAAAAAGTGCGTAAAGACTTCCCCTGATATCATACAGAAGTATACATGGCGAAAAAATAAAAGTACACAGAAGTGTAATATACAGATGATATATTAGTTCGTAACATAATTGAAACTGCAGCCCTGGCAACGCTACCAACTGCAGACACAGTTACACGCGTGATAAGTACACATAATTTAGCATGGCGAGCTGAGTCGCACATGTGGGATGTGTGTGGTGGATAATTGATACTTAATTCGGTTGCAAAATTTTTATGATTTAGTAGTCACATGATGTCTAGTTGGTGTTTTTGATTGCCTGTAAAAGCGCTTGTTTGGTGGCTTTTTTTCTGGTTAGGTTGATGACTTTTATGACAGACACAACATAATATTGGTTCTGTTCTGTGATTTAAAGCAACTCAATTATTTAGTGGTAAATTGTTTTTTTCCCAACCCCAAACAGGATTACACGATTAGCAGTAAGGAAAAACGTTAGCCATTATTAAATGCTACAGAAATTCATAGGCTCCATGATTGTGTTATTTGGGGTAGATTTGACATCAACGTCACCAGCACCACCATTCAATTGCACAGGGGGGAAAAGGCCAAAAAAAAAAAAAGAGAAAGAGAGAGAGAAGAACAACATCATCATGTCTTTAATTTTTAAAGTCGCCCACCTCTTTAAATATTGTAACTTGTCATCAATGTGCTATCCTATCCCCTGACATTTTCAATAATTAATTCATCCTATAATTTGAAATTAAAATTTCTTCTAAGTGCCAAGGACCCATGTGTATGCCCAAGTTTTCCTTTCATTAATTATAATTATGTTAAATGCAATGCCACTTTATTAGATCTTTGTACAAACTAGCAAGTATGAACTTTATTGAAAGGTTTTCGTGGAAGGCGGGGAACAAAAGGCTTTTGAAAATTAAGTTTGGTGTACAAGAGACGAAGTTGTCCATTCAAAATCGGATTTTGAACATTCTTAAGTTTGGTAGTTCACTGATCCTAACCAATAGAAAGCACGGGTTGAATGAACAAGAAACCTGAAGGGTTGAGCTTATCTTGTGGTGTAAAGAGGTCAAGAAGCCGAGTTTGCTGTTGAAAATTAGAAAATTATAGTCTTTGTCTACAAAGACAAGTCTCCATGACCATTACGTTCTGGATAGAATGGAGCAAGCCGGGGTGGGACATGGGATTGTTTGAACCATCGGATATTTACCTTGTTGCCACAACTTTCTTAACACTCCTGTCTGAATTTTTCTGGAAGGTCCTTCCTTATGCTTCCAGAAGCAGCTTTTGTCCATCCTCGTTAACTGAGACACAGCGCAAATGAATGAGACGCGTGATCACAAGCTTCTAGAGCTATTCAAAGCTCAAAACTTCTGGCTAAGGCCTAAGACTGGCTTTTTAAATGTGTTCAATCGCTTCAACCTTGTGTAAATATTAAATTTGTGATTCTTGTTGGCCTGATATTTTTTTTCTTTTAAATGATTCTCCTGTCAATTCTTTGTCCTAAACCAGAGGTATTTGCTTCCCTGAAATTACATTATTTCATATAAATGCTGACATGCGACTGATAAGTTGGAAATCATTAATGTTCCATGTCAACGTAGAATATTAGTAAGCATGATTAACTTGGAATAAAAATCTCTCTTATTATTTAATAAATCCAAACATGTTCTGAACTGTTCTTTAGAGGCTCATAAATGTCGCTTCAAAACTGCAAGCATTCCAGTTGTGAATGACGGGGCAAGGCTGCTTCCTAGAACCGACCTCTATTTTGCTTTACTCAAACAATAATTCATATTCTTAATTATTTTATTAGCTTGATTAGCTGTTTCTGGCTTCCTGCTTCCAACTTTATCTGTTTGTCACGTGAGGTATCTTAGCTTTGTACCCTTCTAATCCCACGTGAAATGAGATATATGAACTCTGTACTCAAAAGAACTCAAGCTTTTGCACACTGTAAGAAACAGGTCTTCTTACTCCAAAAAAAAAAAATCTTTTGACCTGTGGCTATCATTTTCAATTATTCCTTTGTATTCTTATTCCACATTCATTGGCGATATAATTATGTGTATGTATAATATAAACAAAGAGGCAAGGCTCAGATTATAATTGATGTCACTTTCTCTAATATTCCACCCAAGTTTTAAAATTGTGGTGCAAGATAGATGCATCCAAATGGAAGAATATATAGGAAACAGAAAACGGTGAAGAAGCCCCCACATGCTAATTTATATGCCGGCAGAGGCTGTGACACAAAGTTGATGAGCTAGTGGGAGATATTAATAATTATTAATAATATATTATCGATACACTAAGGAGCAGGCAGGGTAGAGATAAGAAAAAGAAAATCATGTTTATGTTTGGATCATTGGATTATCCAATAATTGTGTTCAGCATGATCATGAATCATGACCCACCACCAGCATTTCGGGATATTTCAGGAGGCACTTGCAACTTTTATGCCACTTTTGGTTTTTGGGAGAAATTAGTTACTGCATGAACGTCTTATTTGACCTTAAGAAAATTACTTATGATTTATCTTTTCCGTGAAAATGCTGCAAGATCATGGTTTTAAAAACACAGGCATTTGCTTCATTATAACAGAAAAATGGCGTCCAACTATGCACAGAAAATCTGCACATATCTCTTGGCTTTTGCCCTTTCTTTCATTTTCTTTCAAGCTAAAGTCGATCTGATATTCTCTTTTTTAGGTAGAAGTTGCTTTCATTTTACTTTTGCAGAGCAACTAAGCTTTGCTGCCACCATGCCTTTTTTTATTGTTATATTTATTTGTTATACATCCTTAAGGTTAGACTCATTTGTACCTTCTTTTAATGTGTTTCCTCTTCCTCCACCAGGGGAAGCGGGTTAAAAAGCTGTAAGTAGGAAGAGCACATGCATCGAACAGACCCAAACAATGAGTAGAGTTGAAGGTTTAGGTTGGAAGATGAGGAAAATAGAAGAATAAATAACATGAATCAAAATGTACCATATAAGCAAGTGTAGCAGATTCCATAACAAAACAACAGCATTTGTGCACAGCTGTCTTGAAAAAAACAAATCTCAACTGGATTTACTACTTGATCTCATACAACATATTATATAGTCGAAGTCTGTGTGGTTAAATAACACAATATTTTTTGGGAAGAGAAATGACATTAAATTTATGATTATCGGATTGCATTTGGGTTTATACTGTGTCGAAGGCTGACGAATTGCAGCACCATTAGCAAACTAATTCCCGGGCCTTTCCGAAGCCAATATGGTATATAGACAATCCCAAAATTAACTTGCAAGAACCCAGAGAATGAGCAAACAGGTTCAATCATGTTCTTTTAACATTCCATCAACATACAAAATGATCTGCATGCTCAGACCGATATATACTTAAATACCGAATGTAAAATGAATGACTTCAAATTGGTCCAAGTTAAATACCCACACTTGATCACAAACAACGTACCATCCCATGTGTCCAAGGCCAAGCTTACAGACACAACTTGCTACTAGAACTCTTTCCCTTGGTGTCCTGCATCAAATAAACCCAGAACAATGAATATGATCAAAAGGGAAATCCGTACACAGTACTTGCAAATCACACCTATTAGCATCTATATGTTGTTTATCTTTAGAAGGTGAAAGATCAGATTAAACATTTACGAGCAAGAATCAGCCATCGATGTATAGATGTTCCCGGATGCTAAAAAACCATGAGTACTCGAAAACTTGAACAAATATAATTTTTCTGCTAGATGAGTCATGAGCTCTCTATAAATTTGATGAAGCCGTTTGACTTGGAAGATAATTATTTCCTTTTCTATTTGCAGGGGACTGACATCTAAGATTTGAACAAAAATGCTTACATGTGAAGGTACAAACCCATTTCGAGTGATTTCTGTTTACAGATGGATATCTTTAAGTGGGACTGCAAAGATATGTCAAAATAAAAAGCTTTTTATGAAGTTTACGCGTGACAGTGTCCTCTACGGTGTCCTCTTATATTTCTTGCAGTTCATGTCACATAGTAAGGATGACAATGATAATATATAGCAGAAAGTTCTAGAAAATCTTTGAATCAGGTTCTTCTCTTCATTTCGGAAAGGCGGAACAATCAATAGAGATTGAGTTTCAAGGAAATATGAATCTATGCCTTCTGTCTCCAGAGGGAAAATCACTTGGATCTTTCGGTGTATCCGTCAACTACTTCAAATGTACCAAATAATATCGATGGTATAATTTGGATGGCTAACTGAGTTTCGAAATCCTATTACAACCATCACTAGGGTGGTGTCATATATACTAAAATATCATGGTAATTTGCTTCGAAGGAATTTAGAATTGCTTCTACAGTAATCTGGGCTTGATATATATACATGCCTCTCAGAACCTGGTGCACTTCTATAGCAGCTTACTCTTTAAACGGTTGTCGAAACTTTATAATGCTTTTCGCTAATATTTTCTTAATAAGCTGGACTCAGAGCATAATTTGTTAACATCTAGTTACAGAAATATTCGTAAGGCTAGAATTTCGCTTTTTGGGTTCAATTGCTAGGTTTCCCATTTGCCAATACATAGTAAGTAACGCACGTGAAGAACCAGAGTCCAAAATGACTGCTAAATGCAGAGTTAACATAACATGCTTCACATTCAAAAATTCAACTGTGTTGCTCATTCCCAGATTAAAACAACCAGAGGCCAAAATAACTATACGACGACTACGTATATGTTAGTTCCTCTATCAGTTCTCATGCATTACCATCCCACAAAGCCCTTGCCCCCTCCAACCATTCCCCAACTAGACTGGTGAGTATAATCGTAAAGTCGAACATAAGGCTCGCCTAAGATATAGATGGTTGACTTAAGAAATCGACCCAAAATTTATCCCATGTCTTTTTCACACATACAGTCAAATTAACAACTTGATGTGATTGCGGGACCTACCGCAAATCCGGTTGCTACAAAGTAAAACCTTCTTATTAGTTAACCAAAACGAAAAAAAAAGAGACCATGCTGATTATATTGTATATCTCAAGAAGAGAATGGAAATAATACAAGTAATTGTGAAATATAAAACTTAGGCTTCTGCAAAGAAGTAGCTAGATGTGCCTAATATCCATGGTCATCTTCATTCTGAACAGTAATACTAATATAAATTTTCCCCCTCCTTGACAGTCATCAATCTGAATGAGATCTATGCTCATTATCACTCATTCAATCTATGTATTTGTATACTAGGAAAGTTCAAAGGTCAAATTTGTCCTAAACCGACTTCATGATCAAGCATTTCCCCCTTAGTTTAGACCTCAGTTCATGACACGAACAGTTAATTAGGTCACTTTTTTCTCCTCGATTTTTGGCTTCCTTTTTTGTTCCCTTCGTTGGCATGACCATATGCTAGAGACTACCCGAAAATGACTAAATCTATGCAGAGATGTGGCATTGCAAAACATGTAAAACAATCATTCACTGTGCGGTTCTCTTTCCTCTTCCAATAATGAGCTACGTGCGAGAGTGCAATGCAGAACTATATCCCTTCCCTAGCATATGGCAGCCAACTTAAACCAATTGATGGGGATTCACAGAAAATAAAAGAGCAAGTTGTGCAAGGTTCTTACATCATGCATGAAAGGCAGCTTGTGACATTCAATACAAAGACAGGGTGGGACAAACAGCCATGTCTCTTCGCGGAGAGTTAATGATCAACTGGTATGCCTTACACAAAACAAATGATTTATTTTAAAACAAAACAACTGATTTCTATATTTATATAGTTAATCTAAACGGGGCAATTTAGTTTAAGGTTTTGGGTTTATATTGCATCCAAAATCACTGGGTACGACTAAACATGTTTTCAAGTGCATCGAACAAAATTGTAAATAAGCCAAACTATTCATGATTATTATGAACATCGTGACTTATTATAGATTTTTTTTATTCAATGTTGATGGATGATTTTATGTTTGTCCTTACAAGTTAGTAATCTCAATAGGCGTGGACACCGGATTCAACTCTATCAAGATTAAATAATATCCAATTGGATACAACTACTCTTACTAAATGGAGTTAACATATGATCTATTATGCTTTGTCAACGAAATTTAAAATAAATTGTTAATCAAATATCTCGTTCAATAACTAAAACCCAATTTTCTCTATTGGGAAATATGTCTAAAACATCCCGACTAGTAACATAATATTTAATTTAAATTATTTCGGTAACATAATTTGTTTGTCTATTTAGTACAAGATTTATAAATGAATCAATTAATGAATAATAACATATTTGAATATATGATATGAGTATGGTTTTCTTTGTCTCTGTTGAAGCGTATTGGTCAAAATAATTGCTGTCGAAACAAAACGGCCACACTAATGTAATGTTATTTCAATAATCGATTTAGAAATTTGGACAGCCCAAATTCTATATTTAAATGCTTAAATTTTCTATTATATTTTTCTAAAGTAGTTTGTGGCAACAAAACGATTTCTATTTGATGCAGCTTTCAGATAAAAGTATAAAAAATCTCAAAAAAAAAAAAATCATATACAATAGACTATCCAAATGAAATCTGAATCAACATAGAAAACATACTACTCCTTGTGTCCGAACTTATTTTCTGAGAATCTGGACTTAGTTTCCTGTTGGATCAAATTCAAAAGTTGTGTTAAAAATTCTCTCCGATGCGAGCTTGATTGTCAGAAATGTTTAATTCTTGTTTTTTATAGCAGCACATGATCAAACTTGTTTAAAGCATTTAAATAGTTTTCAAATTGTTTTCTTCCCGAGTTGGACAAAAAAGCATATGTACTTGTATGGCATTATAAATATAAGTTTTCAGTGATGTACCACATGGACAATTCAAATTTCAAACAAGGATGTCATGAAGTGAGTAGTTCCAGCTAAAGCGACCCTAATGCAGGGGTCTGGGTGAGTCAGTGCTGATAACCTATTGTCTGTACTCGCAATTCTCCCTCGTAATAATTTCTACCCAAGACTAAGAACAGTACACCTGTCTCTTTGATGCTCAAGGAGTCAAGTCAAGCATGCCTACGTGCATGGACCTTTCACCATATATCATATGGAAAAAGAGAAGTCCTTCATTTATGATTCTCACGTCTTGTCGACAGACCCTTCCTCAGTGCCGTTTGGGAGTCAGAAAAAATAAGTAGGATAGGGATTATAAAGCTGCTCTTTCGACCCTCATTGTGATTTGTAAAGCTATTTTTAAGCTCTGGTTTTTGCACACTTTCCAACTAGACCCCACTCAACGGCCCTGGACAGGGTTTTCACTACACATAAGCTTACACCTGTCATGGACACCGCATTTGCTACAGAGCAAGGAATCAACCCTAGTGCAAAACCAGGAGACAACCAGCCAATATTGATCACGACAATCCACGCAGGAATCATCTCAAGAGACAGCATATAAAACAGATATCACCCATCATAAAATATATATACATGGCCAACGGTATGATTACCTAGAAAGTAAACGGCTCATTCCTCATGGTATTGCACAATGCACACAACACGGATATCAAAAAAGTTTTTTTAATGAAAAGACATTCAAATTTTGTGTCCTCTATGTTACAAACGAGAGTTATGCACCAACTGGCCCAGAAACGGGCAAAAAAATGCAAGGGTGATGTACGTACGTTAATAAATCAGTATAATATAAAGGGAAATGAGAAAATTAATTAAATAAAGATGATTTGGATTTTGGGAAAATTACCAGGAAGATGTAGCAAGGGCAATGTGGTGTGTCGACGGCAGACATCAGTTCTTGCCTTTGCCCTTGTGGTCAGAATGGCGGGTTACGTCGCCATAACGTAGCTGCAAACGGCCATCAAATCCAGGTGGGAACTGGTGGTGGTGGTGATTCTCCATGGTTTGTGCAGCAGCAGCTCCTATGAGGAAAGGTAGATTGGATCCGTCTACAGGAGTAGAAAACCTCTGAAGAGGGTGAGGCAAAACAGACGGTGAATTGGACTGAAGGGTCCCCCTGTTGAAACCAGCTAGGCCTGCAGAAGAAGAGATGGTGAAGTTGAAGTTGTAGTCACTGCTTCCGCCAGGTATGAGATGGTCAGTAGGCATGAATGAGAAATGCTGCAGCTGATCTGAGTGATTTTCGCCCCCCACACTGAATGGAGAAACAGACAGTGCCTGAAGGGGAAGGGAAGAGTTTGCCAATTGGATTTGTCCTGAAAACCCTGAAGATTGATTATGAGTTCTAATAGAGGGATTCCCCACAAGGCCTGAGTTGAAGTAGTCCATGGGTGTTGTACACCATTGCTGTCTCGCTGCCTTGTTGAACAAATTAGTCTCATGATGATCATCACCGGTGGGACTCGTGGTGGAAGGAACCGTACTAGTAATCCCCCCCGTGAGAAGCTCGGTGAAAGAAGCAGTTTGAGAAATGGGGTTATTCACATTATTGTGGGGATGGGCAGTGTTCTCTTTCTCCTTCTCTTTTGCTGCTCTCTCTCTTGCCCTCTCTCGGGCTTTCACACGGTTTACTCGAATCTCAGACCTTGAGAGGGACAAGCCGGAGCCTTTGCTTGTCTCGGAAGTGCTGCTACAGGCAGACTTAGACAAAGAAAGGTTCTGACTTTGAGTCTGATGATAATCACCCTCACCACCTACCTCAGCATGAGCTGCATCAAACCCTTGTACTGTTCCGACACCCCCTCTTTTCTCATCGCTTGGCCGCTTTGGGCTATCAGGGAATGTGTTGTTCAGAGACGGAAGCTCAGAAATGGCGTCACCAGCTGCTTTGATCAGCCACTCCACAGCTTTACTGGGTTGGTCATAGCCAAGCCGATCTTGAAGATCATAGAACTGGATTGCTGTGGTGACCGAGAGCCTGACCCTTCGGTCTCTTAAACCCTTTGAAGTCATGACCTTGCTGTGCCGGTCTTTCCCTCCAGATGCTCGAGAAACCCTAATGATTCTTGAAGAATGGTGGTGCCAGCTATGGAACCGATTCGAGCTGACGTCGCCAACTCCCCCTCTTCTCAACAGCTCTCCGTCTTCTTCGCCGTCTGGCCATTGCTCGCTCCCTCTAGAACCTATCCTGTTGAAGTCGTTTCTGCCATTTCCGACTCTAGCGAATTTACACGCTTGTGCTTGAATCGCATCCTCCTCCATACCACAATCATGCCTTTTCCACACAAAAGCTCGAGCTTGAACCTTATTTCCCTTCTGTTCCCTACACTTCTATAGAGGTAGAGAGAGAAATATTCACAGAAATTATATGGGGAGAGAGAGAGTGAATGTGTGATTAGAGCTAGCGCAGGGTAGGGTTGCTATGTCCTTTGCATTGATGACGATGATTCAGAGAGTACTCTGTAGACAGATAAGAGAACTTTTTTTAGCGCTCCGATATATCACCGTCCAAGTCAGGGGCCTCCGTTTAAGCTTTTTGCAGTTTGCAGAAATGCTTTCAAAGGCAAAGACTGAGTAGGTCTCAGAGCCTCGGCCTCAGCTCCTGCTAAACCCAGAAACAACCCACCCACAAACCCCCATTACAAGAAAAATATATCATCAGATAAAAAAGCAAGGAAGAAAAAGAAAAAAAATAGCAGCAAATGCTTAATACGTACACATTCTCAGCAGAGAAGATCTGAGTATGTTTAGCACATTAAAATCTAACTTCTACTAAAAACTTGAGCTCGGGAGCCTACTACGATCTGACATTCTGCTTTCTTTTTAAGCTATGGAGAAAAAATTGTAGATGATTCACTTAACTGAGCCAACCCTTTTAACTTCTGCAGTGCATAAGGATTTCTTTCATTCTGACATTCGAATATATCTCGCGGAGTGTAGCTACGAAAATAACTCAAGCTTCATGGCTTAAAGACTTAGTTGACATATTACGATTCACTTGGTAAACCGATATTTGCTAATTATTAAACTGCTCTGCAGAATTTTAAAAGAAAATGACTAAAAACTCTCCCATTTTGTTAAGCTTCATTATGTTCAGCAATGTTGGTTCGGAGTCTGAGATGTTAAGCTCTCAAAACCCAGTGGGATTACACAATACTAAAGACAATCCGCAGCTCACAGATCTGTGCACCCGGAGTTGCTTACATATGAATTAAAACGAAACAAAAATATGGAAGCCTCCAAATTTTGGCTACCTGAAAGACATTCTACTCTCAGATCAGCCCTCATTTCTTTCTTTCCCCCACAAAAACAAACGCAAAAAATAGCCATGTCAGTTTAAAATTCATGTAGACTTGAATGAAAATCAGTAGGAGAAACTAGAGAAAAGCATGAAAGAGACTGGAAGGGTAGGGAGACAAGAACAACCTTTTGTGCCTGACTTTCAGGAACTAAGCTCCTTCTTGCTCTCCTGAATTTCCCAAATGGTCTTCCTTGCTTCCCAAGTGTGTGCCTTTAAATACACCACAGAAAAAAGTTCAGTCTTTTAGTTTTTTATTTAATTATCTACTTGTTTTAAGAATCTAACTCTCACCCTTATGCGTGTCCAATAGACAAGAGACCTCAAATACACAACCAAAGCGTGGGAAATTATGCTTTTTTGAAGCGAACTTAGAGTTTGATTAACACTTACAGTTGCTTTATTCTCTCTGAGCACGTAAATATGCACAGTAGTAAAATTAAAGGAAGAAAGGTGGGAGAGGGTAGAAGGATGTTCTAGGGTTCGTTGTTTGGTGGGTGAGAAACAGAAAGAAAGGGAGGGAAAATAACCCAGGTATAGAGAGGAATTGGGTGGTTTTGAGGGAAAAAGCAGGTTGCTCAAAAAGTGCCCTAAGCTGAGGAGCAGACAGAAGGAAGGAAGGAAGGAAGGAGGAGGAGGAGGAGCTAGTTGGGTTGTTCAGTTCTTTTCCGGCGGAACAATGCGCGGGCTTATCGGGAGAAGCCAGACACTACGCCGTTCCGATGCTTATGTAGGTCTACTGTTTCACAATTGCACTTGCTTTTTCTCATATTTACTCATTTACCTTCCCTCCCTCCTCCATCCCTATCGTAAGCTGTATGACTATGTTATGTCAATTATATACAACACAATAGCACTGCACCAATAAATCTCTCTCTCTCTCTCTCTCTCTCTATATATATATATATATATATTCCTACTTTAAATTACATCCAAGGCCAAAAAAAGTTTTAATTACAACAAAAATGAAACTCAAGTTCAAATTAGTATATCAAATAAAATTTAGAAAATTAGGGAACAAAATCAAATGACGTCAAACAACAATAATTTGACCTCGTTCTTAATATTCATTTTTTCTTAATCCTTTAATTTGGCCTCATTCCAAATACATTTGGCTTCTTATAGGCTGGATCTTATACGGCGTGGATACTCTTGTGATTTCAGCAAAGTTTCTTTTTTCTCCAGATTTGATAAAAACGTGAATGATTAATTAACTTATGTCATTTCTGATGGATTAATAATTTTCCAGTATGATTTAAAACTCCAATAGAACCTACGTAGCACAACCAATGAGAACTGAGAAGAAGAAGAAGAAGAAGAAGAAGAACCAGAGGGGAAAAAAGGGAAAATAAGTTTTACGAAATGCTGGTTTAGCATGTACTTCCATTTGTAGTTTTGTACTGCTCTCAATCCCATTCACATTTCCTTCAAGTTTCAGCCTCTTTCACACAGAGAACAAAGTATAAACAGCAAATATAAAACTAAACTCTAAAAAGTTTCTTGTTAGCTTTTTGTTTAAAAAATAATAATAATAACAACCATCGTAAAGTATCAATTCATTCACGATTGTTTATATTTATCCAGCAAGTGGACCGTTACGACCACGGAATTAAGAAAAATAAACAAACAACAAAAGGTGACCAAACACCAACATTAATGATATCAAGATCAGCTAACTATATGTCCTGTAAAATTTAATTTCGTATGATGATTATTTTCGCAAACAGGTACACAAGTATTACAACATTGAATTACATAATTAAATTATTTGTATTTTTATTATACCTTGTGAATTCAATCTCTAGCTTTTATGCTGCATAACGTAAGATTGAATGAATAAATTGAATGAACGGGAAAGACGATTAAAAAATTACACTTTCTCTTATCATTAATAATTTAATATAATAACTACTTAATTGATTTGGATAAATATTTAAAAAAATTAATTAATTGATTACAACAAAATTGATAAATTATAACCCTGTAATATTAGATTATATATCTTATTATAATTAAGTCATTAGGTAAATCAGCGTAAAAGAATGATAAATATGAAAAACATAGTAAATTAAGATTTCATAATTAGAATCGAATACAACTCTCACCTGACTCCTATATTATGAAGCGAGTAGTAGATGTCAAACGAGTTTCAGTTGGGAGTCCAAATGGCAACATGATTAGATAAGGCAGCTGCTACTTTGTTTGGCTTTGAAGGAATCAGTTCTCTCATGAATGATGACACCCAAATAAATGAAAACAACAACTTTTGCAGGCAAGCTCATATGCATATACAGGCTCCTTTAATGTTTGTTGGGCAAAAGTTCGAAGCTCGGCCAGTTGTTTTCTCCTGGTTAAGGTGGATGGATATATGAATTTGTATGTACATATTTTGTTTTTGTTTTCTACTATATATATGCACTTTTATCATACATAACATCTCAATTCTAACAGCTACTACTGTAACAATTTGACAACTCTAATATAATTGACTTTCCTAAAATATTCTATTTAATCAGTACTCAGTTGGCAAAAATTAAACCTTTCTTAATATACTTAATTAATAGGGATAGTTTGAAATTTTTTTTAAATTTAAGAAATAAAATGGATTCAGATCTTACACGTAAAATGACCAAAACAAACACCCTAACTAAATACGTCCTGTGTTTAGAATCAAAGGAAGTTAAAAATAATTGTATCTGTGGGCGCTCACCTAAATATTCCGAGGTAGTTCATTTGGCTCCCATGCACGATTAGACAACTAGATATCCTTTATAATATCTGATTAATTTGAAGACACTTGCCATCTTTTTCAAACCTATGTCCCACTTTATACTACGAGCAGCTGATCATTTAGTTTTTCACTTTTTCTCTCCTCAATCTGATTAGTGATTAAATATGCAGAATAATATGTATTGGTGAATTTCATTATTATTTGTTTATCACTTATATCTGTGGAATTGAGTTTATTTTTACACGACAACAAATATGGAAATGGTAATAAATTTAAGAAAATAAACATACTATATACCCAAATTTAAAAGGTATCGTGTCATAATGACCTGCAACTTGTGTTGAACCTTGAATTTATAGTATTCATCTCACCACAATGGAATTGTGGTAAAAGTTGAAGGCCCCTGATTAATTTAAAATGCAAGATAAGCAAATTAAAAAAGAGAGAGAGAAAAAATAAGCAGTGCTTCCTCCTATCCTCATATGAGAGCTAGCTAGAGTTAGATTTAATTCTAATATAAAATTTCAATTCACTTTATCTTTCCTATTTAGCATTTTTTTCAAACTAATTTACTAACTTATGAATTGGTACTCCATCCCATCATTAATAGGAGCTAATTGGAGGACTAAATTTGATTTGAATACAAGATAACAATTCATTCTGTCTCTTATATTGATCATTTTTTTCATACTAATTTACCAAACTTAAAAACTAATATATATATATAACATAATGTTACATAGAGGTATTTTAGAGAAATGATACCATATTTATTATAATTAACCAATTTAATTAACCTCCTAATATACTAAATTTAGTTAAGTAGATTTTATATATTAAGGACCAAAGACAGTATATGATCTAATGTCATGTATGTAAGGATATTTTGAGAAGATTAGGTCACTTTTATTATAATTAATAAATTTATTTGAGGGATGAAAACGATAAATTGGAGGGTAATGATAGAAATGCACAGCAACACAGTGGGACTGTCCAATGTGCATTATGGGCACCCAAAGTGGGGGTCATAAAGGGGAGAGATTTAAGAGCAAAAATTAATTAATGAATTAATTAAGGGGGAAGGAATAAAAGGATGAAAATGTCCGTACGAGATGGTGCATATCTCCTTGCTTCCCCCGTTGATATTTATAATTTATAACTTTTGTCTGAGAGGAAAAAAATAAGGGGAAAGGTGAAGGCACATGGGAAGAGGGGGGAGCAGAATGAGGAATTGATGGGCCATGCACAGTGCACAAACCCGCTGTGACCCCCTTGCTGCCAACCAGCATCCCAATCCCACTACCCATATATGCTCCATGGGGCTCCCTTTTTTAATTATTACGTGTTTTTAATTAATATAAAATCACTTTTATCTAAACATTATATCAGATTTTAACTAACTTGAATTGATTGGAGTAGGATAATAAAGAAGACACACTTTTTATATACTCCTCTGGTCCTATTTATAAGGCAAAAAAAGAAGATTTTTGTTATCCTATTTATAGGGTACTGAGAGAAATTTTTTGTATAAGTATACAATTTTAGCCTTCATTTATTATTGTGTTGAGTTTATTTACATTATGTATAATATATACTAAATAGGGATTAAAAAAGTTGAATTTTAAATGACAATTAATAAAGTTTAAGGTTTTTCTTGATCTATGTGAAATATGCTAGAAGTAACTTATAAATAAGATAAGAGAAGTGTATCTCCTTGTTTACCAATAAGTGCTTGTTTGGTTTTACACATGGATAATGAAACACATGACCTTATGAAAACGCGTAATGATGGTTAATTAATGAGGGATGCACATTCTTTTTTTCTTTGATGGACATTCACACCCGTATATTCATAACAATTTGTGTAATTATTAGATAGATATATTATACTCTTTCGGTCCTTCATATAAGACTCATTTAACTAATTTGATTAGATTAAGAAAGTTAGGTAAGTTAGTTAATTATAAGAAATGTAACGCATTTTTTCTAAAACACCATAATCATTTTTCTTAATACCTCTTCTCCCTCTTTTACTTGATTATGGTTGAGGGAGTATCTATAGGGATAATTTAGAGAAAATTGATAAATATGAGAAATGGATTTCATATTTATAATTAAAACTAACTCAACAATTGGGTCCTATATTAAGGACCGGAGGAGTATTAGATTTCACAAGTCCTTAGAGCTAGTCAAACTATCGAAACATTGGTTGCAAGAATCCAATTATGGAGTCCGTAGCTCTTTGAAATCTGTTTCTATCATCATCATCATATGAGTTATGGCATGGTGAAGATAATACTATCTCTTGTCCTTAATATAAAAACTAGTTAACTAATTTGAGTAGATTAAAAAAATTAATTAAGTTAATTATTTGTAATAAATAGGCTTACTAATCAAGGATATCGGTTAGAACTATCATTATTACAATGATTGTATTAAAAAAAATGATTAAATATGAGAGACAAAATGGACTAGGATCTTATATTGAGAATTAAAATAAAAATCAAACGAACTATTATATTAAATATCGGAGGCAGTAGAATAGTAACTTATACTATAATTGGGACATAAAACAATAAGCAACATCTGCGTATATACTTAGACTTTTGTGTGTGTGTGTGTGTGTGTAAAGGTATACGATTACTTATACTCCAATTAGTGCATGACTTCTAAAAATGGACTTGTATATGTGTGTATATTGGAAGAAAAAATATACCGCATCCCAATATTTGGATGAAAGTGAGCATGAGTAAATTCAACAAACAAATTATTCCTCGATAGTAGTAGTTCTTGTTATTATTATTATTATTTTGGCCCTATATTGCGGTTATTATTTAATTACATGAGATGATAGTAGTGTATGACTAGTTGATTGTTTATAGATTATTTCGAAGCGGATGTCCCACCAAATTAATTTTATAATTAACAGATAACTGTGGACACATTTTTTG